AGCTTGAAGGATAAACCGCCCGCAGGGACATGCTGGGTGTTTTAGTTTAGAAAAGGTATCTCATAAAAACATAAAAACTGGCTCATAAAAACTGAAAACTAACTAAGGTTGAGACCACCTGATAATACAAAAAAACATGTGTAGAAAAAAGGCTAAATAGGAGCTGATGCATGAAATATACTCTAGATTTTAAACATTAGTATAAACGTGTCCCTATCATTACAAACACTGTTTACTTTTATTTGTGCATTTGGTTGTTTAAGTCATGTTTTGCTCTCCATACAAAGCAGTCCACTGAAAGGAGGTAATATTAAGCAGGAGTTTCATCTGTGCCACACTGAGCCAAACACACACACAAAATCAGCTGTTCAGTTCCTACATCATTTGCTTCTTGGACAGCCGGGTGCAGATTCTTCACTTCAAACAGTTCAAACAGGTAACGCACCGACAGAGAGCCGCGACATTTCACACTGCTGAGACAAATGCTCCTGGCCGTCTCTGCCAAACCAAGGCATGATGGGAAACTCCTGGAAGTGACCTCGCGTATTCTCTGTAATAAGTCTGGCGTGTTGTTATACTTCTCTTTCTGCAAACACACAAGCACACTGCTGCACTTGATGACACGATTCTCCACACACTGTAGTTCATTTTCACATGGCATCCACATGCCATGTTGCTGCCCCAGATACTCACTGGGACACCAGCTGTGTATTAATCCACCACTGAAAATACTTTAAGTAACATGTGCAGTACATGTCTACTACAGACTACAGTCTGCAGCCCTTTTAGGGCATTACTCAGCAGTTTTTGTTTTTTAAATACAAGTACATATTTGTGAGCTATCTTCAGTAGGGGGGGAGGCTTAAATTTGCAAAAGGAAGGATGGGGAGGGGGGGGGGACAATATTGGCAGATTTGGTTTTGTATTTTAATGGGATTTACTGATGGTTAGAGGAATATTGGCAGCTGGTTAATCCTTTAAGAGGGTCTCTTATGTGTATTTCAGGTTCTCTCTATTTTTTGGGATTGCAGTTAAGCAGCTTTGCATGATTCACAGTTTTTGTTTTTAAATTATTATCTGTCCTAAACTGGTCCTTCATACAGACCCTATGCTTTATCTTGTCTGAAGTCAGCTTCTTTTTAAGCCAATCCTCCCATTCCAAAGAAGCAGGTCCTCCTGATCGACCAACTTCTGGAAGGGTGCAGAGAAGCAGCACGCAGTGTTTGCAAGCTGCAGAGTAGATGTCCATATAAGGAAATCCACAGTGAAAACTGGAAATCTAGTAATTGCAGCATTAAACTTCCTTATCCTTACCCCGAGCCACTAAACAACAGACCTAAGTGTAGAGATTGCTGTGGTGCAGGCTGTCAAGGCAAGACTGGAAACACCTAGCCTTTACAGAAAGCAGGGTCCTACCTTGTAATCTGTCATCTGGTCACTCGAGAAACAAATTGCTATAAATCAACTGGCCCATCAGTATTCTGCAGCCCAGAGAGAGAGAGCACATTACACCTATCCTTACATCTGTTCCTGTCAGTTTTCATATTGATTTTGGGAATCCTTTACTTGTTGTTAAAACACTGAATTGTCTTGGTCAGCTGTATGTCTCATATACTTAGAGTGCACGAACCAGTATGGTCCCTCGGGTCCTCGAGCACAAGTAGCTCCAAAGTGCAGGATAGAAACATTTGAGAAGGCAGCTTTTAGCTTTCATGCTCTGACCTGCAGTCTGCAGGAGGACTTGAGGTGAAACTGGAGATGTTTAAAATCTGCTCAGGGACATTAAAACTGAAACCCTCTTTACCCTAGCTTTTGATTAGGTTTTAATTCAATTTTCTGTTCAGCTCAGTTGTATTTCTATAGCACCAAATCACAACAACAGTCGCCTCAAGGCACTTTGTTTTATTAGGTAAAGACCTTGAGGGTGACAGTGGGATGGAAAAACTCCCTTTACAAATATTGGTTACTTTTTTATGTAGTTACGTTGTATCCAGATTGTAAAAATTGTATTTTTTTTTAATGGTTTGTCTCCTTAAATCTTTTAATGGGTTTCATCATAATGATTCCATTTTATTCACTTAGGTACTCTACTGTATATGCTACGTATCCTGTTCTATTTATTTTATCATTATATCTTTTCACATACAATATGTATTTTAATATATTATTTATATAATATGTGAATATGTCAATCAATCAGTCAATTTCCTGTTGACTCCTGGGGGAGCATAGGTCTGCAACAACACCACGCCAACGGACTCTGTTCTGGGCTGCTCTCTTTAGCTGGGTCCACGTCATTCCGGCGGCCTTCACTTTGCTCTCGACAGATCTTCTCCACGTCTAAAAGGGTTCTGATGTTCCAGGTCCCTATCCTGGTCTTGGCCTTGGTCGTAAGAAGACTTGTCGGCGAGCTGGCTTCCCGAAGGCTTTCATCGGCATGCGGCATGAGCCCCGCTGAAGAGGAGTCTTCCCGTCCAGGCAGTTGTATGTATTTGTTGTTGTTGCAGTTTCTGTAGCATGGCTTATTTTTAAAAGGTGGGGTTGCTAGCCCCACGCCCAACCCTACTCCTTTCTCATCCTGGACTTGGGACCAGGCAATGGTGGAGTTATGTGAATATGTATTTTGTTCATATTATCTCCTTAAATATTTGAACAATATATGCAAATTAATTTATTTTTTTTTGTTTTTAATTCCATCCACAGGTTCACTAAACACTCCATTTTCAAAAAAAATTAGAATTTTCTGACAGTTATGTCATGGTGTCATGGTTCAGGCTTTAAAGGTTTAACCAGATGCTCGGACCACCTTAACTGGCTCCTTTGGACAGATATTAAGTTAAATGTTTTTTGGGTTGTTTTTTTAATACGTAAAAAAATCTAAATGCCTTACTAGATGTGTGGCTACGTGTCCAATATGTGTTGCAGAGTGTGTTCAGGTTGTTGTTGCAATTCAGCAGGAGACAAAAACTTGAATTGTAATCCTTGACTCTAACTGCTGGATGAGTAAATAAGCAAATGCTAGCAAGCCAAACCTACCTTTACAAAGTGATGATATGTGCAAAAACTGCAGACTTTAAAGTCATTTCTTTCCACCAGATGCCTCACGAACAATTGTGTTGCCGTGTTGTGGCAAACTCAAATGCTCCTGCATATAAATAATTCAGCTTGATTTACTTTGAAGCCATGAAAAGTTTGGTATAAATAACCATATTGTAAAGATGGAGAGAAAAAAGGAGTCCTCTCACAGGATCAGCAGGACACACCTTCCTCTCTCTCTCTCTCTCTCTTTCAGCACAGAGCCTCGCAGTGCTTTCCCAGAATTCCTTGCAGCTCTTCAGTCCCAATGGATCTGTTCTCCTCTATTTGCTGTGGCAGCAAACCAATCCAGTCCCTTTACTCCTAAGAACATCCAGCCAATCGCAACCGAGCATGGCAATGACCCACTTAGGCACGCGCACTCACATCTCACTACCTCTCACCTTGAACATCTCGTCAAGGTTGTGCAAGGGTACCAAACTGTGTGTGTGTCTGCATGTGTTAGGTAGACAGCACCAACAACCAGGAGACACTCCTGTCAAACCAGCACTAAACACAAACAATCACACAGACACTTCAGAACAATTAGATTCCAGTTTGGCGTGAACTTTCTGATCTTCTCACAAAGTATCACGTCAGTCAGAAATGTTGCTTCTTTACGCATTATCATTTGTATCATCATATCTGCTCAATACAAGGAGAGAGTTAGCCTAACAGAAAAATAGGAGGAATGAGCGCGAGGGCTTGCCAGTCTGTGGCCAAAACATTATTTTTACCTTTGCCTCTCAAACATGCTAATTAAGGCGTTATATATATTTCATTATTAAAAACAAGCAGAGACTGTTTGTGAAGTGAGTTGGGCATTGTGGCTGTTACACAAGATAGAAACACCCTAAATTATATCTTGCTTTAAAGGAAAGAAGTAGAGTTTATTTATGCTTTTGTGCTTTTCAAGTTTGTGTTTTTTAATATAAAATAGGATACGAAATAAAAGCAAGTTTTCATTTAGCTTCTTTTTAAAGGCATCAACAGTGTCCACAGATTTAAGGTCTAATGGAAGCGAGTGCCACAACATGTAGTTGTATGTAAAATAAATTTGGGCAAGAAACTCACCATGCTTATCAAAACTGAACGCCTGATCAAAACTATCACAGAGATTTCTCACAATTTAGAAAACTAAAGATGAATCAGATACAAGATTATCACTTTGTGTGGAAATGCAGTTGTCGGGGACAATATTTACAGACAGATAATTATTTAGCATCCAGTTCTTTATACCACGAATGCCGTCCTGAAGAACAGACAGTAACAGTTTCACGATGCGTCCAAACAGAAGCTTATACAAGGCAAGCAAAATGGAGCCTGGGACTGAACCTTGAGGCACACCGTGACATAAAGCAGCAGAGATCACAAAAATTAGCAGAAGGAAGTAAAAAACTGAGTGAGGAGAATCAATCCTGAGCCGACCCAGAGATGTCCATTCAACGTCTAAGTCTCTGAATCAGGATCCTATAATCGAAAGCAGCAAAGATCCAATAGTACCAGCGCTGAATTGTCTTTTTTAGTTTTACTCTAAATTATTCTCATAATTTGCTAAATGAACCTCATGCAATATCAAATAAAGCTAGAAATCTAGTGATTATTAGCATAAACTCATTGGGAAGATGTTTACAGGTGAGAAGTAGGGTCATCGTTTCCTCATAGATTTGTGGTCACTCAAACATCTTTTGCAATCAGACCAGTCGCCCCCTGCTGGCTGTTAGAAGACTGTAGCCTTAAGGCACTTTTACAAATTACTTCACACATGGGAGATATGCGCATGTTTTATCTACAGCAGGTAACTGTGGCAACAGAAATATTACAATAATTTAAAAAATTGTAAAATCCAATTATATATTGCATTTATGTGTGTCTATCAGCACAGTAAAGACTTCCTCAATGAAAAGTCCTACAGTGCTGTAGACAATTTCAAATTCCACCACAAGACTCCACATAGCACCGAGGTCAAACTTTTAAAGAAAGAAACTTACAATTAGATCTTTTGCCCTTGCTCCACCTTTTTGTAATATCTTGCTGACAAGCAGCACACAGCAGTGCTGATGACATGTAGCATCCTGTGTCTCCCCAGAAGGGCGAGACAAAAAAGTACCACCATGCAAGGCTTCAGCTGATACTGGATAAACATCCTAATGCTGGTGTCAGCAACGTTGTTGATATATTTTGTTAACTCGATTTTGATTTAGCGCTAAAAACAAAGCAGAGTATGTTCTGGCGTTATCACACCGTAGGGGCAAACTTAAGGGTTTATCAAAGTTAGACACAGAGATCATCATGATACTTTAACTGTGGAGCCACCAGGCCCTGAGTTGAGATCTATCAGAAAAGCACAATGTCTACAGCCTGGATGCCAAACTCTCAAATAGCTCTTGAGATATTTTACCCTGGAGACTGACGCTGCAAATTTTGCAAAATAACTATTTGATGTGACGCGTAAGCATTTTAGATATCTGGAAAAAGTGACCCACTCATCACAGAATAAATAGAAAAGGATCTTTCCTGTTCATTTATTATAACTATTTCTTTCTGAGCGTGTGCCTTCACAGGTGGATAATATGGATGAATGCAGGGAGGAGAAAGCAGTCTGGTACAACAGGAAAGTTCAGAAACTGTTGCTGCTTGTGGAGAAGTGCAAACATCAGCATGTTGTAAGCTGACAATACGAGAGGGAGATGTTTACTGTAAACACAAAAACTGCTCTCCCTCTTAAAAAACTTTTGGTTTTGTTGCCTTTTTCTTTTTATAACAGGTTACATGTCAGCTAAAAAAAAAAAAAAGAATAAAATAAAGTAAAATAAAAAAGCCCTCAGTGCTCTCGGTGTTACTGAGGTTTGTTTGCTCCGAGGACTAGAACGTGTGTAAATGCTTCATCAATCCTGTTGTGCTAATTATGAGATTAACCTGCAAAGGTGCACTGCAGCACAGAGAAAACATAGTTTGGTCTTTTGCGTTTTGAGAGTGAAAAAATGAGGACAGTAAGTGTTGTGCGATTGGTCACAAGTCAAAAGAGTTCAAACAGGTATAGGTTATAAAAAACATCAAATGCAACTTTAATGGGCTTTTTTTCATTAAGTATTTCATTAAAAACAACAAAAATCAATAATAAACAGACAGAATGGAGAATGGGGTCAGATCCACAGCACCACAGTTTGGGCTGAGGTACAGAGGGGTCACAGAGGGAAAAGACTTAAAAGTCATTAGTCCATCACTGCTGCTCCCGCGATGAAGACTTATCTCCTCCTCCTCTCATCTCTCTCTCTGTTCCGGTCTCTGTTCTCTTTATTCCTCTCTTTGTCCCTCTCCCTTTCTCTCTCCCGCTGCTTCTCGCGCTCCCTCTCCCTCTCTCTTTCTGCCTCATTCTCTCTCTCCCTCGCTCGCTCCCTCTCTTTCTCCCTCCCTCTGTCTCTCTCCCTCTCCCGTCCGTCATCTCTTTGCCTGTCCGTTTTTCGTCTCCTCTCCTCCACCGCCGCCTCCTCCTCCTCCGATCTGTCGTCTCGTCTGCTCCG